TGCAGAGAGTTAAGGCCCTCGCTGGCCGCTCTCCGGTACCTCTGAGGTCAGTGAATAGAGAAGCAGCTCCCCTTCTTCTTCCTCAAAACAGAAGCCTCCTCCTTTCTTAGGCGTTTGGGACAAATTCTCCACACAGGTGCAGCTGAGCACTGTAAAGTTCCATCGAGGGTCGAGGGTCTCCATTGAGGGTTGAGGGTCTCCATTGCCAGTCACAGTTTGGGCTCGTTAGGGTTACGCTGTACAAGGAGAATGAAAACCTATCAATCAACTCTTAGTGACCAGTTAGACAGATTCAAGGCAAATTTCCCTACTGGGAAATCTCAAATCCCAAAATATGCAGAGACCAATAGACGCCTCAATTCCTCTGTGTCTCCGCCTAAATCCTTGGATCACTGTGATTCACGTAGTTATGTGGCTTGTAATTCCTCGGGCTGCAGAATGGCTATGACAGACCCTGTGCTAAGGGGATTGGTGACAGTTGAGACAGGAACGTGGAAGCTATAGCAGTCAGGGTTCTCCAGAAAAAAATAATCAATACTAATAATGATAGATATATAGGTAATGATTGATAGTCAAAAATGATAGACAGATGGATAATGATAATGATATCACAAATAATGATAGATAGATGGATAATGATAGATATATAGTGATATCACAAATAACGATAGACAGATAGGTGGATAATGGCAGGTATATAATGGTTGATACACAGATAGGGTATTTATATATTGGCTTATGCAACTATGGAGACTGACAGGTCCCATGATCTGCCATCTGCAAGCTGGAGACCCAGTCCATGTGTAGTTCCAGTCTGCGTGCAAAAGTCTGAGAACCAGGAGAGTCAGCAGTGTACATAACAGTCCAAAAGCCAGCAGGCTCATTCCAGGCACGGTGGCTCACGTCTGTAATCCCAACACTTTGGAAGGCCAAGGCAGCAGGCACATCACCTGAGGTCAGAGCTCAAGACCAGCCTGGCCAACATGGCGAAATTCCATCTTTACTGAAAATACAAAAATTAGCCGGGTGTAGTGGCGCTCGCTTGTAATCCCAGCTACTCAGAGGCTGAGGTACGAGAATTGCTTGAACCCAGGAGGTGAAGATTACAGTGAGCCGAGATCGCGCCACAGCACTCCAGCCTGGGTGACAGAGTGAGACTCTATCTCAAAAAAAATAAATAAATAAATAAATAAAGCTAGCAGGCTCAACATCTAAAGAGTCAATGCTTCAGTG